AATTACAATTACAGTAATTAAGTCTAGTTTGTTTCTTTTCTCACCTGTTAAACCTGCTGCAACAAAATTATCAACCCTGGTTTAACTAAAATAGCAAATCATATTTGTATTATGTTAATAATAGATAAGAGTAATGTTACCACTGCAGATTTCATCTATACACACCTTAAAGGTCAATGACAGGAAGTGAAGGCGTGGGTTCGCTGAGTTATGTCATTTTTTAATCCTTGTGGTTATTTGTGATTAAAAAGAATGTGTAGTCTCTGAGAAAGAGGGATAAAACCATGAAAAAGAGTAAAATGACTTAGGGTTGACTTAGGGGTCTAGTTGAGAGATGTCGAGATTAAATCAAGTTAGAAGACAATCCGTGGGAACAACCTGTGTGTAGCGTGATGGTGTTAGCAAATTTTCACTTAGAACATTCTTACTTTAAGCAACGTACTTTGAGCATTCTTCCCGACGGCCGGGACCGGGCTTCTCGGGCCCCTCTCTGGTGCCACCTGTTTAGTAGTGTTAATTTCTAAAGCGGTCTCACCTTTTCAGTTACCTCATTATCACGTAACAAGAAAGGACACAAATGAAAAAAAATATCGACTTAAAAAAAGTGCTTGACGAGGCTAAGACATATGGGGCATGGGCAGAGCAGGTGGCATTATTTATAGGAAGAGCTGGCGTAAAAATGAAGCCAAAGCTGAAATCAATATGAATAAGACAGAGTTCTAAGGGCATTTAAAGAGAATCTTGGAATAGCAAATAATGTTGTCAATCAAAATAAAAAAACAAAACAAGGGTGAGGTCAAACTATGGGTTCAAGTAAAGAGCCGATCTTCGCATGAATGTATTCATGCATGAATGTATTTATGGTAGGCCTACGTAAGACAGGTGAGAGGGTGAAACGAAACTGTAAATTGTTTTTAATGACAATGACATGTGATATGAGGCATTCAGGAGATGAACAATATTAATACAGTAAGTTAATAACATTACAGTCATAATTGAACTGGGCTTGTAATAAAATAGGCATTTCATTCAGATTATTTTGCATTTAAATTTTTATAAATCATTTCCAAAGTTACCTTAAACATTAATAGGCCAAAATAACATAATCTAAGTCCAGTACGATTTATGTAATTATTAACTTAAATTGGCATGCATATCGCATATTTTCAATTTAATTGACACTAATTGCAGTGTGCATATTCCCAATCTCCTATCTTTTGATAACGTCATCACCCGCGGGTTTTTAGATGGTTATTTTTGAAACTAATTTAAAAATTAATTATACAATAAAAGATACGACTTCGTAATTGATTACCCTAACTAATTTCCTAAAGACTTGAGTTTTGTATTATAATTTACAATAACCATCATATCCACAAAGTTAGAGGTAATAGTCCATGAAGCAAATAGATAGTAGAGTACCGAATCGCGGGCAGTGCATCTTTTTGCCCGCACTTATAAGCAAATGCAGCGCCGACAGCAGCTAGCGATGCCTATTGCTCTATTTTCATCTATTTCATATCGTTTTGAAATTATAATTAACTACTGTTGCAAGTTTATTTTTATAGTAGATCATGTACAGATTGATTGTCAGTACATACAGAAAATGAGTATGAACATCAAATCTCATGAAAAACGAAAGTAGGTCAGTTTGGGTTAGAGCTGTGATAAAACCTGTTAAAAGTATAGTCGGCGTGAAATTAGTACAGACTGTGAAATATGCTTTTATAATAAAAATACAACTTAGGAGTTTGTACATTAAAATTGAGACATAAAGTATAATAAATACCATATATTTGTCTACCTTTATGGTAGGCCAAGAAAAGATGGCGATTGTACCATAGATGTAAACTCCATTATTATTATTATCTCCGCCCAGGAGATATATGTTTTCAGTCGTGTAAGTTTGGGTGTGTGTGTGTGGGTGTAGGTGGGTGCGAGGGTGTGTGTTTGTCATGTTTTGGTGTTTTCGTGTTAGTGTGTTGTGTTTTTAAAATATCCCCAAAACAGCTGCACAGATCATAAATGAAAGTTACAGGGAATGTTAGGTATGACCCGAGGATTAGGTTGATTGCTTTTTGGTGACGACATAACGAAACGTCCTAGACCAAATATTTAAAAAAATTAATCAATTGATCTCATAAAAATTTCATGAAAGTTTAACCAAGTTTCAAGGAAGGAATTATTAATTGTTGGTGACGATAAAAATACAGGTGTGAATTTGAGGGTCATTTAAAATTCTAAGGTCGTATGTGTGTGCTCTGTTCAAAATATCTCTAAAAACGGATGCACAGATCTAAATGGAAGTTACAGGGAGTGTTATGACATTCGAAGGAAAAAGTCCCAGACCAGATATTTTCAAAAAACTAATTAACTGATCTCAATAAAAGTTTCGTGAAAGTTTAACCAAGTTACAAAAAAAAATATTGAATGTTATTGACGATCAAAATTCAGGTGTGAATTTGAGTCACTTAAAATGCTAAGGCCCCAGACCTAATGATACGTGCCCTCTTTTTATAAGCATTTGACGACAAGACAGGATCTCCAAAGCGATACTTTTATATAAATAGATCATGGTAAACTCTAAACCGCCTTGCGTATGTATAGCGTTAGTCACATCATATAATGATTGTATTAAACATAGCCTTTCAACTAATATTTCCCATATCAGTTGTATAAGAAAAGCTTCAGGTGAGAATTGAACCGACGACCTTTCGCAATCAGGGTGGGTGTCATGTCAAGCTGCTCAAATTCTGTCCGATTCCTCTTCTATTATCATCATCAACATAACAGAAGATTCACTGAGTTATGGTATGAAGTGGGGTTGTATAGTTTAGTTGCTTGCCTTGTAATTCAAGGGTTCTCTGTTCAATTCCTATGAGAGGAAGGCTTTTCTCAGAGTAACAAGAAATATTTCCTATAAGAAAAGAACGCCGCAACATCTTTAACCTATGGCTGGTTTGTATATCGAAACTTAATAAATTAACATATTCTTGAGATTGACCTACAGGTGTACCATCTTCAATGTTTTTCTTTTATGCTATGATACATAAACATACAAATAATAGCCTACATGTACAGGAATTGGTTTATGACTGGCGTAACAATAGCGGTCACAGGATTAAAATTTAAAAAGGCATACCAGTGTACTCTACATTGGTAACTGCACATGTTCGACATGGCTCGTCAACGTCACTTACTCAGTGCACATACTCATTGGCTGCCTAGCATTTCCAAGCGCATGCTTACTGTGATTTTATAGATATTTCACGGACGTTCTTTGGTAACCATGTGCATGCGCATTGCTTAGTTCGGCATTCCCCTTTCCTACAGTTTCTTAATGACTGTTTCCTCTTGATCGTAGCAGCCTAAAGGTGCGGCGCGAAAACACCTCCACTCCCTTGACGAGTCTGGTTATATAGCATCGTTCCGCACTGTAATTGGCGAGTATAATTGCTGTTGGATATGACAGTTAATGGTGTGTGTCAATGGTATATTGCTGATTTTAACGCAGACACTCTAAAAAGTGAAGAATTCCAATCGCTACTGGCACTTGAATTCGCCACAAAGCCTTCGTAGTCTAGTTATATTACACTTGTCTTGTATGCAAAAGATCCCGGGTTCGAGTCCCTGTATAAAGGTTGATTTTCATTTTTGTATTTTTTTCGCACATTTCTCTTCATAACTTCACTTCTAGGCCTATTTGTCCGAATTTCGCCATTGTTCTTTTATCCTATTTCAAATTTAATAATAGTTTAAGTAACCTTAATTTTAATTCATAAGGTTGCCAAATCTCGTCTGACTTTTTAATTTTGTAACCGTGGTTTTTCAAATTTTCCCATGTAAAACCTACGGTTTTAGCAGAATGTGGTAAATTTCCCGAAGTTTTTATGTAGTAGCTTAGCTCCGATGATACTGGGCCGATTTACGGCATTCTTGTGGCAACATGTAGCTTTAATTATTACCTACAACTTATGTAAAAATCAATTTGATTGGTTAATAAACGACGTCGGACTTTCTATTTTTGTAAGAATCAACCAATACCGGTAGCAAGTCAGCATAGAAAATGCTTTAGAATAATAGCTAGCGAATATTAACTTTAGAATTTAGAATGTTATTTGCTTTAGCTTGAAATATTATTTTGATTTTAAGTTTGTGCATGTGTAGGTGAACGTATAGATGCATTTTAAATGCATTTACATAACAAATATAATAATAGTAATGATGATGATGATCATAATAATAATAATAGTAATAATAATAATAAAGATGATGATAAGGAGGATGATAAACAAATTAAAAAAGGAAAATGTATTACAAAGAAAGAGAAGGGGAAAAAAGGAAAGGAAAAAACAAAAAAAAAAAAAAAAAAAAAACAGAAAGATAAAAAGGGAAGGGATGTAAAAGAAAAGACAGACAGGAGGTAGGTAGGAATGAAAGAAAGAAAAGAGAGGGGAAGGGATGAACAAGACATGAAAAAAAGAAAAGAATGGAAATTCAATAAGAAGGGAAATATTAAAAAATAA